TCCCTGGGGCCTCTGGAGGGAATATAGACCTGCTGCCACCTTGAGTTCATATTTCTGCCTCCAGTACTTGGAAAGCATATATTTCTGTTGTTTTAAGCCACCCAGTTGGTGGTAATTTGTTACGTGGGCCATACGAAACCAATACAGAAGGTTTTTCTGCAGTTGGTCAGGAACAGGACCAAATTAGAATATGATAAAATATTATTAAACTCTGTACTTGGAGTGTAAATAATTATTTGCTGGCATAAATGCAGCACAGTTCAATCTTGGTGTGATTCATAAAGCACTTTAAGGCTGTTCAGAACCTCAGTTACTATTAGGACATTAAATTTTTCCATAAAGCATAAAGGATGCTAAGAGGTCTTTTTTCCTCTTAACACCAACCAATTCTCCAATTCTCTGACACCAACTGGGCTCCTACCATTCAGCTGAATTCTGACACTACCCAGGGTTGAAGGGCTGGGTCCCCCAAGATTGCAATCACTTCAGATACCTGTCACAAGTATTGGGCACCCAGGGACCCACACTTCTGTTGACTTGGCTATAGATTTGGGGGTCTTCACAAAGCCCCTCTTCAGGTTCAGTGATGTGCTCTGTCCCCAGTGGAGTTGGGATACACCGCTGTCCTAGCATGCGGATGTGTTCCCCAACTCAGAATCTCACTGAATTGCATCATTTAGAGGTTTTTGTAGGTGCTATTATTTGACTGTCCACCAAAGCTCATGTGTTGGAAATTTAATCCCCAATGCAACAGTGTTGAGAGATAGGACCTAATAACAGGTGATTAATGTCATTCATCCATTAATAAATTGGGGGATGAAGAGAATGGGTTAGTTATTATGAGAGTGGGTTGTTATAAAAGTGAGTTAGGACCCTCTTGCTCTCTCTCTCACTGTCCTGCCCCTCTGCCTTCTGCCATGGGATGATGCAGCAGAAAGGCCCTCACCAGATGGCCTTTTGGACTTCTCAACCTCCAGAACTGTAAGAAATAAATTTATTTTCTTTATAAATGACCCAGTCTGTGATATTCTTTTATAGCAACATGAAATGGACCAAGATAGTAGGTGTGATTGATCAAATCCTTGGCCATTGATGATTGACTCAGTCTCCAGGCCCTCTCCGCTTCATGTGGGTTGCAGGGTGGAGCTGAAAGTTCCATCTAATCAAGGCTTGACCTTTCTGGCAACCAGCTCCCATCCTGAAACTATCTAAGGGCTTGGCCAGAGTCACCTCATTAGAGCAGGAGCATGCTATTACCCTTGTCACTCAGGAAGTTCCAAGGGCTTTAGAAGCTCTGCGCCAGGAACCAGGGACAAAAGACCAGATACTATTCTGAGATACCACAATATCAGATTAAGTTTTTTTGAATAAATTGGGTTTGCTATGCATTTTTAAGTAACTGAGACAGACTTTTGACTGTTGAGACTCATGAATAAAATATTAGAATCTTTTGAAGTGTGTAAGGTCAAAGGTAAACACAATCATGGTGAGATGAAATGATATGGGGAACAATCAACAATGTTGAAGTGTTAAAGAAACAGTTACCTTCAGAGGGAGATGTTCTTCCTTCCAGTCCAACCATTTACAGTTACTTTTTGTTAGGGAGCTGCATATCATGTTATTCTGAGAGCACTTTCTCCCTCTCCGTTTTTTGGGAAGATATTTAAATTATGATTGTAATTTATACAGTTTTGGAAAATAGTCATTAAATCTTTTGATCCAGAAAAATGCCAATGGTCTGGATATTTTTTTTCCCCCATAAGAAACATTGTTACCTTTCTTCCATCTCTATTTCTCCCAGGGCCTGCTATATTAATATTAACCCACCATGGCTATGTTTAGACAGTAAAGAGCCAGTTTGGCAGGAAATGAAGTGGTATTAACAGGATGAATGATCTATCCCTCGAGCCTAGAAAAAGGCAGATGCACCACTATAAATATTTGTTTAATAAATGGTGAATCACATCAACCACAAATATAATTTAAAGCAAGTGGGGTTTTACCACTGTCAGACTAGCTCTGATCAAAGTATTTTTTGAATAAATTATCCAGATTAGAGATCTCCATCTGGTTAGTTATAATAAATATATAAGGAAATGTGATTAAAAAGTTGCACTGAAGGTAATAATTTTTCTTTTGTGACCATTTTATGAATTTATACTTTTGCAGGACACATATATTTTACATTTTATATACTTAGGTACTCTGAGAGTTTTGTTGTGGGTTTCCAACAATTACAAATGTTTTTCTTTTTCATGCTGGGAAGTCGTGTTGAGGAGTCCTAGTCTCCCTACCTTGGTTATAAGCTTATCAATAACTACCATGTTACCTTTCTTCTAAGGTGCACATTTTCTTCCCTTTTAAAAAATGGAGTGCATTTTACAATTGTGTGTGTGTATAAACACACACACACACACACACACACACACACACACACACACACACACACACACTTGGTGTAGTGTTTCCGAGTTCTTTTCCCCACTCCCACCATTGAAGTTGTTAGACCGTGCCCTTTTCAAACGAGGGCCATTTCAGAACAGAAGGAATGATCTGTTGACTTCCTTTTGGATGGTGACACCAAGCATCTCCCTCAGGCCTGCTGGGGAGCTAAATGGTGAGCCCGGCAGGAGAGAGGCCCCGAAGGTGCCCACAGCTTGCTGCAGTCAAGGTGGAGCGGGCAGACAGTTCCTGATGCTGATTAGAATAGTACTGAATGCACAACACATTGCCATTTTATAAACTCATTTCACACATTATCGTGCTTTGCCTTTGTAGCTGCATTTTGGCCCATTATGTCCTTGTTTACTGGACACTGAAACACAGTGATTTAGTGACTATTAGACGAATACTGGAACAGGGACCTGACGGGGGTCTTCTGCCTTCTGCTGTTCTTACCCCACCACCTGCGGCCATGCCGAGATGTGTGGGGATGGCTTCTGTCCACTCTGTTCACCCTGTGGATTGTACTAGGTGGCTCCTCATCTTTAAATGTGGAGGACTCATGGGTCCAGGTTATAACCCGTTTTCTTACCCGGGTGAGATTTGCAGAATTGAAGTTTCTGACACCTCTGGCTCTCCCCTCCCCTGATCATAGCAAAATCCCAGAACATTCCCTATCCTTTTCCATAAAAATAAAAATGAAAAGGATATTTTTTTCTAGATTTTCTTCTAGATTCACATGTTTGTTTTGACTCTGAAATAAAATGTACATTTTCAAGTGTTTATGGTTGCACTAATCATTTTGTTTCCTATCAAAGCACTCCACTGTTGGCAGTTTTCCTTAAGTTTTTTTTTTTAATTTTAGGATTTTTTGGTTTAATGATCTTTGATTCCAAAGCATTATGTATATGTGTGTGTGCCCCACACTTTTAATGATCATTGTGGCATAGAAATGTTACTCTTCCCTGATGAAAGAAACTAAGTTTATTATAAAGTTCAGGTTTAGTCAAAGCCTTATAAGAATTTGTTTGAGACATAGTCTCAATTTTCTTTATGATCAATCAGCTTTTAATTTGCAGTGTTACAGGTCCTAAATTAATACCACTGGGGTATAAGGTATAGTTCTTGAAATTTTGGCAATAACTTTTCCCATAGACTTTATTTGTAACACATCTTTGTTTCCACATATCTGTGACTTATGCAGAAGTTACTTAAATTTCCATTTTATATATGTGGAAATTGAAATGTTAAGTTAAATATGACTGCTAATAATAATTTAGTGTGCTACTTTTATGTACCAGCCTTTGTGTTAAGTGTTTACACACACTGGATTTTTTTTTTTTTAAGAGAGAGTCCTGCTCTGTCACCCAGGTTAGAGTGCAGTGGTGTGATCACAGCTCACTGCAACCTCAAACTTCTGGGCTCAAGCAATCCTCCTGCTTCAGCCTCCTGAGTAGCTGGGATTACAGGCATGCGCCACCACTCCTGGCTAATTGTAAAACTTTTTTGTAGAGATGGATCTCGCTATGTTGCTCAGGCTGTTCTTGAACTCTTGGGCTCAAGTGATCCTCCTGCTTTGGCCTCCCAAAGTCCTGGGATTATAGGCATGAGCCACCATGCCTGACCCACATTATCTTTTCACATCTTCACAATAACCTTTGATAAAGGTACTCTTTTTACCCTCATATGACACAAGAAGGAAATGAGTTTTTAAGAGGTTAAAGGAAACTTACTGCCACTACACTCTGGCCTGGGTGACAGAGCGAAACCTCATCTCTGGAAAAAGAAAGAAAGAAAGAAAAGAAAGAAAGAAAGAAAGAAAGAAAGAAAGAAAAGAAAAAAGAAGAAAGAGAGAAGGAAGAAGGAAGGAAGAGAAGGAAGAAGGAAGGAAGGAAGAAAGGAAGAGAAGAAGAGGAAAGAAGGAAGGAAGAAGGAAAAAGAAAGAGGAAAAGGAGAAGAAGAAAGGAAAGGAAAGAAAAAAGAAGGAAGGAAGGAAGGAAGGAAGGAGAGGAGAAGGAAGGAAGGGAAGGAAGGAAAAGAAAGACAGACAATGTACTTTTGTGTGTTGCTATATTGGCTGGTGTCTTTGAGCCTTCCCGATTCATGTAGTCCCTCACTTGCATTTGGTCCTGTGGCTTTGCTTTCACTTTGTGATGAGTGACTCCAAACAATGCCAGTAGACACCAACTTAGGAGGTATATGGCTTAGAAAAGAAAATGTTTCTCTAAGTATGTCAGTTTTCTTATCTGTCAAAAGGAAGATTGAAATAGGTGATCTGTAAAATTCCTTTCAGAACTAACACCTTGTAATTTATAGGAATTGTTAAAAATGGACAGAATTAATTATAAACCTAAGATTTGAAACTTAAACTAAATTTGAAACTTAAGATTTGAATTTTATGATTTTTCTTACCCTCCTTTTTTCTTTTTTGAAATTTGTTTTAAAAAAAATCATATTCTTGTCTCTTCTAGAATATTACTACATTTTAGGTATTGGGCTTAACATTTTTATAGCAATACTGTGACACCAATACAAACCTATCTTTTTTTCTCCCCTAGGCCCTACAGGAGCAGCTAAAGATGTGTAAGTACTTAATATTATGATTTTACAAGCTTCTTTCTGGGGAAGATGCTGTTTTTCATGGTTTTGACCTTTAGATATCTGTAGGTATGAAAATACCTTCTGTACTGTGTACACATCAAGATTATCATTTAGTTTATAATTAAAATGCTATTTGAAGAATGTTATTTGTGACTTTTCATTCTAGCCTTTCAGTTGCCCAGGCACTTTAACTCAGAATCTTAAGACAGGGAAATGTTTAATTGTGTTTCCATCCCAACTTGTATAGATATTTCTTCTAGTAAAAAGTAAGTGTTATGGGAGAATTAAGCACGTAGCTCCTGTGACTACATAATGTCTTAGAGTTCGCCAGGGTGGAGAGGCTGGGGCCACACACGTACCAAATTCATACTGAATTGTTTTAAAGTTGATAACTAGATATTCGAGTGAATGTATGTGCCCATTCAACATTGTCACCATTGAGCTGATCTTTAGACCATGGCACATTTAATAAAGGAGGGTCTCCCAGTGCAAGGCTTCTGGAGCTCAGAACCTTTCAATATTTCTGTCATGCCCTTCCTTTCTGCATCTTCATATTTCTAATCTGGATATAGTAAGGATGGTGTCATAGTTCACTATTTAAGAGCGTTTGTGTTTATTCCATGGAGTGTGGGATCCACCCTCCCACACCAAACTGGGTTGGATGTCAAGACTCATGGCACCATACCATCTCAGGAGGATATGACAAGATTTATTACTCACATAACAAGGCTTTCTGGGGAGAGCAGGAGAGGCCCCCAAACTGCTCTACTCAGCTTGAGTGAAGGTAGGGGTGAGTGACTTTGGTTTTTATTGCCATTGAGGAGGGGGTAGAGTGAGGGCTCTTATGCATGGAGTGGGGTTTGATCTTCCTGCTGGCACAGGGAAGACCTGCCCAGGTTTTCCTACAGCTTGCACAGATGTGGGTCAATAGGGGGAGTGATGAAGCTTGAAAGCTGTCAGTGATCAGACATCACATGTAACGTCAGACTTTCTTACTACAAAGAAGAATTCGGAGAAGGTTAGAATGGAGTTGCAAAGTTTTCTGGGAATTAAATATGCATTTTATATGGAACCTCAGGTATAAAGGAAGCTGTCATAGATTGCTTCAAACTCCTGGTTGCAGTCTTTGAGTTTATCACCAAAACACTTAGCAACAGTGAGCTCTGCATCCTTCCCTTATTGCTACTGTTGTAGTACGGGGTTTTTTGAAATTTGTTTTAAAAAAAATCATATTCTTGTCTTGCTAATTTATACATTTTTAGGTAATTGGCTTAACATTTTTATTATAGCAATACTGTACACCAATACAAACTTATCTTTTCTTCCCCTAGCGCCCTACAAACCTAAAGATTGTAAACTAATATATAGATTTTAAAGCTTCTTCTCGGGAAGATGCTGTTTTTCAATGGTTTGACCTGTAGATGATCTGTAGATATTGAAAGAATACCTTCTGTACTGTGTACACATCAAGATTATCATTTAGTTTGATAATTAAATGCTATTTGAAGAATGTTATTATGTGACTTTTCATCTAGCCTTCAGTTGCCCAGGCACTTTAATACAGAATTTAAGACAGGGAAATGTTTAATTGTGTTTCCATCCAAACTTGTATAGATATTTTCTTCTTAGTAAAGAAGTAAGTGTTTAATGGAGAATCAAGCAGTATAGCTCTGGTGACTACATAATGTCTAGGTTCGCCAGGGTGGAGAGGCTGGGCACATCCACAACGTAACCAAATTCACCCCCCCTCCCCCCCTTCATGAATTGTTTCTAAGTTAGTAACTAGACCTATTCGATGTGAATGTATGTGCCCATTCACATTGTCACCATTGAGACTGATTTTAGGACCATGGCGACATTTACATAAAGGAGGGTCTCCGGCCAAGGGTCTGGAGCTCAGAACCTTTCAATATTTTCTGTCGAGCCACTTCCTTCGCTCTTCATATTTCTCGTAACTCTGGATATAAGTAAGGTATGTTTAATCAATAGTTCACTATTTAAGAGCGTTTTTGTGTTTATTCCATGGAGTGGGGTGGATCCACCGTCCCACACAAACTGGTTGGATGTGTCAAGACTCATGGCGCCTACCATCTACGAGGGAGGATATGACAAGATTTATTATCACATAACAAGGGTTCTGGGGAGAGCAGGAGAGGCCCCCAAACTGCTCTACTCATCTTGAGTGAAGTGAGGGGGTGAGTGACTTTGGTTTTTATTGCCATTGAGGGAGGGGTAGAGTGAGGTTCCTTATGCATGGAGTGGGGTTTGATCTTCCTGCTGGCACAGGGAAGACCTGCCGGGTTTTCCTACAGCTTGCACAGGATGTGGGTCAATAGGGGAGTGATGAAGCGTTGAAAGCTGTCAGTGATCAGCACATCACATGTAACGTCAGACTTTCTTTACTACAAAGAAGAATTCGAGAGAGGTCTAGAATGGGGTTGCAAAGTTTTCTGGGAATTAAATATGCATTTTATATGGAACTTTATATTAAAGGAAGCTGTCATAGATTGCTTCAAACTCCTGGTTGCAGTCTTTGAGTTTATCACCAAAACACTTAGCAACAGTGAGCTCTGCATCCTTCCCTTATTGCTACTGTTGTAGTACGGGGATCTCTCCAACAGGCTCCCCTTCCATCTCTTTGTGTTGTTGCCAGATTAATTTTTCTCAAGCACTGCCTTGCACTTGTAGGACCTCTGCTCAGGGCCTATTCTCCATGCCCTGGATTGAGCCTAGGATGCACTGCAAATAGGAGACCCTTTATGTTTCCGCCTTATGCTGACTGGCTCTGCGTGGTGTGGGAGGAGCAAAGCCAAGTACTGACTGGGGAGGAAGCGCAGACCACACTTGGGCTCACACCAACCTCACGTTTTCTGTCCCCCGTTTTTTTGCTGTTCCCACTGCCTGGAATGGCCTTTTCTCCAGTTCTGTTTGCAAAATTGCCATCTATTCTTCAGGGATTATGTCTTATTCTTTGTGAGAACTATTTCCAGGATCTCTCAACTGGAGATAGAGTCTTTTGCTTCTGAACTTTGACAGCATTTGGGACCTTTCTTCTGAAGAATCGTATTGGGTTTATATTGTAGTTCAGGCGTCTTCAAACTACGGCCCATGGGCCACATGCGGGTGTTTTTGCCTGTTTGTTTTTTGATTCAAAAAAGATATGTGCAGGTGCATAGGAATTTGTTCATAGCTTTTTAAACTATACCGGCCTCCAACGGTCCTGAGGGAGAGTGAACTGGCCCCCTGTTTAAAAAGTTTGAGGACCCCTGTATGTAGTTATTCATGCTCTTGTCTTTTCCCCCTGGGGAATTGAGTGTGGTGGAATGCCTTACCCGTTTTAATGTGCTTTGGTGGTATCATGCTTTGAACATAGTGTTTAATAAATAGTTGTTGGATGAAGTCCATCATTTCCCTTAAAGGAGAGAGTGATTTCATGACTTCTTCTTTATATAGGGAGGATGGAAATTTCTAATAAAATTTAGAGATGATTTTTTTCAATGGAATTAACTATTCCAGGATGTGAGATGCCATTTAACTACTTTTTAAAATCCTGAATTCTTGAGATTTAAGTTTTCTGTGATTATACCTCATTGTATGCCCTATAACCAAATAAACATAATTTTATTGAATAAATAACCCTTTAAAAAATAAATGAAGCAAATTTAATTGGAAAATGTTGAATACTATATTACTTTTCCTTGCACAAAAGGTATATTCAGACACATTCAATACTTTAAAAGTAGAAGCTATAGATTTATAAATCTTAACTATAACATTAGGTTATAGTATCACCTAACTATAACATTAGGTGATGCCGTGAATGAATGAAGAGCTAAGAAATTAAGATGACAAATTTTTATTATGAAGATTAAATTTTTTAAAACATTTATTTAAATAAACTGTTCCCAGACCAAAAAAGTGGCCAAAATAACATAATGGGTTCTGAGTGTAGAAAACTTTCAGTAGGGCAACCACCATATTATACAGATCACATGAAAGTCCTTTGGGAGAATTACAGTTATTTTTGGAAGCCAGAAATATTGTAATTATTCCTTTAAGATATATCAAAAAATCAATTCTTTTTTTTTTGAGACAGAGTCTCACTTTGTTGTCCAGTGCCGTTGCATCAGCATAGCTCACAGCAGCCTTAAACTCCTGGGCTCAAGCAATCCTTCTGCCTCAGCCTCTGAGTAGCTGGGACTACAGGCATGTGCCACCATGCCCGGCTAATTTTTTCTATATATATTAATTAGTTGGCCAATTAATTTCTTTCTACTTATAGTAGAGACAGGGTCTCGCTCTTGCTCAGGCTGGTTTCAAACTCCTGACCTCGAGCAATCTGCCCACCTCGGCTTCCCAGAGTGCTAGGATTACAGGTGTGAGCCACCGCGCCTGGCCAAAAAATCAATTCTTTAGGAAAAGTCTGCAGTTTTTACCACCTCTCTTTTTTCCTACTTATTGGCCTATTTTCTGTAGGCCAGAAGTCAGTTTATAATGACAATTAAAATGGTATTTCTGTCCTAAAGTAGATCACTGCCTACTAGGGACCAAATATAATGTGAGAAATGCTAGTTATTATAGTATAGAATTTACCAAACGACATGAACTAAAAATAAATAAATAAATAAATAAAATATAGAATTTAATGCTGGTCAGAGTCTTGGGATGAGCAAGAGTTCTTGCAGAGAAGGGAAGAATGCAAGCGGGCCAGAGAGCAGAGCAGCGAGACAACCTCATGGGGCACAAGAGAGGTGTTCTGGGAGCAGCCAGCCACTTGGTTTCCCCTGGAGCCCACGGCCCAGGTTGGGCAGAAGTGAAAGGTGAGGTTGATGGCGGGGCCGGCTTGTGAAGGGACTTGGGTGCCAGGCCAATAATTGTACTTGATTTCATATGCATTCAAGGGCTGTTAGAGGTTTTAAGGTGGAGGAATGAAATGATTATGTTTGAGTTTTCAGGGGATAACTCCCAAAGCATGATACGTG